AAAAAAATAATTGGGATCATTTCTACAGGAGCGCCTCTATTCCTTCACCGCCGATTCGAACTCTTCGTCGACCTTCTTCATCGGATTTGTTCCTCGGTTAGATTTCTTGTTCCTTTCTCTTTGATGATCATATTGATTTGTATCTGAAATCAATCTCTCTTGATTTTGCAATTAAACGAAAGGAATCACTGATTGTATAGTCGAATATCTGGAATATATACATATATATATCGAAATCGATGGTATCAGATTTGTGTATATGATTGTTGATGAGCTTGTTCCAGATCCATAATCGTTTGTGATTTGTTTGATACAAAAGTGTCAAAAGTGTTTTTTTATTTGATTTTGTGAGTATCTCGTTTCCGTGGATAAGGGCTTGTTGAAATTAGGTTGAGCTTAATCAAATTCTTTGATCTCTCGATTGATATTCAGGTGGGATTGTTGCTCTCCATGTGTAGTAGTGACTCTTAGGCTAATGTTTTGGAGCTTATAGTGAAAATTCCGTGAAAAACTTTGTGGTGGGAATCGTGAGATCTTGTAAGATGAAGATACCCTTGTGTTGCAGCTATGGGTTTGTCGACTGATGTTCTAATCTTTTGCCACCTAAGGGTCTGATTCAGCTACTGCATATGGTTGGGGATCGCTTCTTCTAGCCGTGTGGGATCATCCTTAAGAACAAGAAGTGGGTTACAGTTCTGAAGAAATATGGGTGAGACTCTTATTACAACTCTGTCTATGGAGAACTATCACCCGTCGACACTTCTGTCTATGGATTCAGGTGCTTTTACTCATGAAGATTCAGAGAGGGAGGCAAATCGGTCGCTCATACTTTCGGGACCGCCTGATATCAATCTCCCGCTCTCATCTGAAGCTAGTCCATCTCTGCTTTTGTGGAACGAGCACTGTGACATCTTAGACGTTGGACTCGGGCCTCACCTATATGAACCTGAGGCTGTTGTTCATGTCCCTAAGGTTGCTAAGAAGTACAACAAGCGTGTTGACAGTGCATGGGGTGCTTGGCTTTTCTTTAGCTTCTACTTCAAGCCTGTTTTGGATGAGAAGTCCAAAAATAAGTTAATGAGGGACAGCAATGGCTTGTCCGGATACGACAAATCTGACTTGCAGCTCGACTCCTTCTTGGTTCAGCATGATATGGAGAATATGTACATGTGGGTGTTCAAGGAAAAACCTGAAAATGCCCTTGGCAAGATGCAGCTGCGGAGTTACATGAATGGGCACTCACGTGAGGGTGAGCGTCCTTTCCCTTTTAGTGTGGACAAAGGTTTTGTCCGCTCTCATAGGATGCAGAGGAAACACTACCGTGGTCTTTCTAACCCACAGTGCCTCCACGGAATCGAAGTTGTTCAGTTACCCAACCTTTCTGTACTCAACGAGGATGACAAGAAGAAGTGGACAGAACTCACAGGGCGAGATGTGAACTTTGCTATTCCGCCGGAGGCAAGTGACTATGGTTCATGGAGGAATCTCCCAAACTCGGAATTTGAGGCTGAGCGACCACTTCCAGTGGCTAAAGCGAATGGGCAAACCCAACTGAAAAAGCTGAACGGTACCTGTCTGAATCTGTCTACACATTCACCAGACCACGCAGTTGATGCGGCGGAAATTCAAGCCGCTTGTACCAATAAACGCAAAAGAGATTGTCTTGCTCTAGGAAACTGCGATGACTCGAGCTCAAGTGAGAAATCTCTCGACATGAAAATACATGCAACAGAGCTGCCGTGGTCAAATGAGTTCAGCGGAGTGATGAAGAATGTGTACGGGCCAGTCACAGCTGCGAAAACGATATATGAGGACGACAAAGGGTTCTTGATAGTTGTGAGCCTGCCACTAGTTGATCCAGGAAAGGTGAAAGTGACATGGAGGAACACACCAACACATGGTATAGTGAAGATATCTTGTACAAGTACAGCTTGTGAGCCATTAATCAAGAGACATGATAGGACATTTAAGCTAACAGATCCGACGCCAGAGCATTGCCCACCGGGGGAATTCGTTCGGGAAGTCTCCCTGCCAAACCGGATTCCAGATGACGCAAAGCTTGAAGCTTACAGGGATGAAACCGGAACAACGCTAGAGGTGTTAGTGCCTAAACACCGAGTGGGACCAGAGGAGCATGAGGTTCGCGTCTGTGTCCGTCCGTTCATGCTAGAGTGAGATTGTAGTGTATAACTTATTAAAGGATTTCATTGGTTCATGTATCCATTGGATTATTCATATTTACTTATATTTCCCCACACCCATTGCGTTGTTAACTTATTGGTTCATATTTGTTCCATCTTTCTTCAGGTTATTATTGTCAAGCAAATATGGTAAGAAATGATCAATTAGCAGTAGATATTTATTAAGATAATTCTTTCCATTCAATCACTCAGATATACTTATCCATTTAATTGTATGCTGTTTCCGATTAAAATGATTTTAAATATCTCAGAAAAAATAAACTAAGAAGATTAGCGATTTTGGTGGATCTTTTTAATTGTCCCGTGTCCTTTTTAACTTCTTATCATGAACAATCTTCAAGAAGTAGGTTTTCTTAGGTCGAAGAGAATCTTAGTTTCGAAAACAGTAGATTGGAAAAATCTTAAATGTGAATCGATCACAGAGCAAGGTTCAAATTAACAACATAGAAAGCTTAAATAAGAAACAAGCAAACAACTGGAAAATTAAAAATAACTGAATAACAAAACAAACTAGAAAGCTTAATCGACTTCTTCGATCTTGGGTCCGG